CGCCACCCACCGTCCTCCCTCCCTTCCTCCCGGACTGTCCGGACTGTAGTCGCACTTTCCGGACGGTCCGGCTAGTCACCATCGACCGGACGGTCCGCGAGCGACGAGACCGGTCCGGCGAAGGCGAGTTCTCCCTAGCGGCTCCTGCGCCCAGCCGCCGGTCGATGTCCGCTCACGTGTGTGTTCCGCGCACCACCGTCGGCTGATCGGCGAGTGACGCACGTGCGTGTTGGGTTCGCCGGCCCGGTGACGCAGCGCGGCCGGTCGCCGACCGGTCGGACCGGCCCCCGGTGCTCCCCGGCACACTAATTGGCCGGGTGTGGCGCTGTGATAAGGCCGCGGTGCGGATAGCGGCAGCGGCCGCAGCTGCCACGCGCCACCGGCCCTTCCCCAGCGACGCGCACACGCGCACGGCGTCTGTCGACCACCAGTCGCCGCCTGATTACACCGAAACGGATCACCGCTCTCCCCATCGACAAACAAATAGCGGCTAATTCTGCCTCATGTGGGCTGCGCGTGCGTCTGTCAAATTATTGGCGCAGGCCGGCGTTTAGTCTCGCTGATTGGCCAGCTGCGAGTGGCGGCCGGCGCTGCCGCTGTCAGATGACTACCCGGCCGGCCGCGGCGCGCGCTCCATGCGCCGACAGCCTGTGATGAACTCGTCACTCGCGCTGTGCGGAGCGATCGCCGGCGGCGGCGGCGCCTTCCGCAGGGAGGGTGGCCTCCCCTCGGCAAGTGGGTCAGGGTGGATCGATCCAGGATCGCGCCACTCGTCAGCGGCCGCTCGCTGGACCCCGGGGGACGGCGCCGGGGGACGGTGCCGGCGGCGCTCTGTTGTCTCAACACGGCCAGGTGGCCGTGGGCTCAGCCGCCCGCTGACACAGCCGCCGCGTCTCTAATCCGACTCCATTATCCTATTGTGGTGCTAGAGACAAAGGTTGGTGCGGCCGACGCTCCGCCGCGCTGGTGAGGCGCCGACCCTGCCGTGCCCCGCTCCGCCCCGGCCGCGCCGTGCAGGGCAGGGTGGGCGGCCGTAATAGCCGGCCACTTGGCACCGGGGAATGCCGTCCCATCGGCGCGGCGGGGCGGCGGCAGGGGCGGCCGGCTCGATCGAAGGCAGCCGTAAAGAGAGCACCGATCGATCTCGCCGACATGCTGCACACGGAACTCGGAAATGGTAGCCCGCGGTCTGCCTGTGAGGGTCTGCGGGGGTCGCTCGGTACGCCACTGCGACGGCCGGCCGGTTGGCGGCGGTTTCAGGAAATGGCACCGGCTGCCAGTCGATCGTCACCTGTTGAAGTTAACAACGATTTATGAGCCGTCGTAGTCGGCTATTTTCAGATCTGGGTCCATAAAACGTCTCCATTTCCGCGCTGAACCTATAATGCCCATTCATGCAGCTCCTGTTGCGGTCAGCAGATGGCTATTTGAGTGCAGCGCGGCCAGTGGGGATGTCTGGGCTGATCTCGATGCATTGCCGTAGGTCATGCTGGTGGTTTTAGATGCTGACCGGCATCACTGAACCCCCTCGGTCCATCACCACAGGGGGAGGGGAAGGCAGGGGTCGCTGCTCATTTGGAAAAGGTACGGATGTGGGAGGTCCCCGGTGCGTGTCCCTCGGACAGTCCCCTCGGGGACCGGAATGTCGACCGGACGCGCTGTTTTAATTACTCGCCCTGTCCGCGTCGTTGGCCGCCGAACGGAAGCGGCTCGGTCGTCGGTCGAACTCGGCTGATTCCTGCGGGTGGGGGGAGGGGAGGAGGGGAGGGAGGACTGGTTCGGACGGCACGTGTGTGCTGGTCAACCACCGCCGGCTGACCGGCCGGCCGCCGCCCCCGACCCCAACTGATGGTAGCAGCGGTGACACGTGCAGTGCCGTCGACCGACGTCGGCCGTTCGTCGACTGACGGCCGACGTGCGTCGGACGTGACGGGTCGGCCGTCGAGCGACACTGATGTATGTGTGCGTGTGGCAGGCTGAGCCGGACAGACGGGGGCGAGGCCGGTCCGCAGGGCCCCCTTGGTGGTGCCTGAAACTCTTGGAATGTCGTTGGGCTGAAACGGACCTTCCCGGCCATGGAGTTGATTGGGCGGTCTACCGCCAGGACCGGCGGAATGCTATGTCCTCATCTGATCGCCACCAGAGTGGGCTCTGGAGAAGGGCAGCTACCTCAGGTGACCGCCGACGGCAGTGGGAAGGGCTAAAGAACCTGGCCGCGACTGTCTGACCTTCACGTCTCGATAGGCGACCTTCGGACGGCGGGGCCAACAGCCACATCGATAACTATTCGCACCAACACCGTCGTCGGGCATTTAATCTTTTTTGCAGCTTTTTTGTGCCGTGTCTGCTGCCGCCATCTCACGTTTTTCGTCGAGGTCATGGACAAAAAACCTGTCTGCGTCGCTGGCCAGGGGCAGACAGTCCCCGAAAAAGCGCCCACCTGGGGAGTGTGCCAGATCCGCCTGCCGTGTCGTCTGACGTCGATAAACCGAGACTCGGTGTCCAACCGGTCAATGGTGACGCAACCAGCCCGTTCCGTTCCGCTTCGCTTCGATTCTAGAGCACTGCCGCCCTTAGCGACACAGGGAAACCTGTGCCGCCCGGGGTTCGGTCTCAGGCTAAAAACTCTAATCCGGGGTTGAGTTGATGGCGCGGTATGGCCCCATAAATCCGAATGAGCACTTGGCAGTTTACTGTAAAGTGTAAACTGGCGCTTTAACGAGCACGGTCCTGTCCCATGCTTCACCTGAGCCCGATCTTCCATAGCACGCTCCGACTGGCCTCCAGTTTTTCGTGCCATCTACTGGCTCGTGTCCCGTGCCGGCCCGTGTCGTTCCGTGCCTGTCGCCCGTCCCGAGTCGCGGACACGGCACAGGTCGGTCGTGGTTCAACCTTGTCGCCGTCCGCGGCCTGAACCCGCCGGTCGTCGCTAATCCGTGAGACAGGCACGTTCCGGGACGACTCGGCCGGTTTGGGCAGACAGCGAGCGCCTGGTACGGCCATAGCACGGGCCATTTGGACACGACACTCCCTCCTTGACCCAATCCTGGCCGAGCGGGGGCTGTCGGCCCGCCTCGCTGATCGTAGTGAGTTGCACGGTCGTGCTGTGCCGCTGCAGCCGAGTTGGTCGCAGCTGGGCCGAGGCTGTCGACGCCCCGCGAGAGGCCGGCGCAGGAGGGGCCCGCCCACCGCCGCGGGGCGGGGCCGGCCGGCTGGCGTCTGTTTGGGTCGCGGAGCTGACGTCACGCGCGGGACGTGGCCCGTGCCCGGCCGGTCACGTGCGCCCGGCCGCTCGGACCGGTTTGTCACGTGACAGGCGCTACTGATGGCGCGCGCGGGCATCGTACGATCACGTGACTGCCTCCGATGTCAACACGGGCCAGCTGTGGCCCCAGCTGATGAATAGCGCGGTGTTACCGGGATTTGGTGCCGCCTCAGCCGGCGCTCGGTGGCGATACAGAATATACAGCGGACAATGTGGGCAGCCCGTCCGAGGTCGGCTGCTGCCGATCCGGCTCTATCCATGTTGAGCGCGTGAGCGGCTCCCCATTTATCTCCGATTTATAACCCCGTACCATGCAGAGCGACTGTGACTCGTTCGGGGGTGAGGTCAGGAGAGCAGAGCGGCGGGCTCGCCGTGACCGGTGCCGAGGTCGGGCCGCTGGGCAGGGGAGAGAGAGCCGCGCCGCTCGGAGCAGCGCGGGCGGAGGGGGTCGGGTCGCCGTCAGCGCGCGGCGCCCATTGACCTGATTGCGCTGACGGCCGTGGCGCCGCCGGGCGGGCCGCGGGCGGCCGTCTCGGGTTGCCGTCGGTCGGGCCGCCGGCCGTACCTTCCGCTCCGGGCAGCGCCGTTGGTGAAAGTGACGCTGTGTGCGCTGGCCAGCCCACTCCACAGCCGCCCACCGCTCAGGGGATCAGCTGATTCTGTCCCCCTGCCGTGCCGCCGCCTATCGTTCATGGGGTGTCACCGAGGCATGGCTCACTCGGATAGCAGTATCGGCCACCGTACCGGCTGAATCCGCCGCTTATCGCACGGGGGACTGCCGTCCGGGGCTGCATGTGACTGCCCGTATCGGGGCTGCGGGCGGGGGCACTCTGTTACTCGCTCCCGACCGAGAGATTGTGTACGCTGGCTCCCCGCCCCTCCCCTCCGACGGCCTACGGCCCGTTGGCGCCACCCCCCCCCCCCCCTCCCCCTCCAATGGCTGCCTGGGAACGACTCGACTCTCATTGCCCATGCGCCCTGAGGGTTGTTCCCTATATCAACGTTCTATGCTTTTCCTGTTTGGTGATCTGGGCTGGTTTTGACTATTTATAGTCGCCGTGGTTTTGACCACCACCCACAATGGCGTCATCACCCACTGATACTGCCACACCACCTTGATTTAAGTTCTAACCACATCCCTTTTCGCCCTCCCTACCCACGGACCTAAGCCTAGATATCTGTGAAAACGAAACTGATTCATGGCACAAACCGGTGGCTCCACTGCGCCACTCAGCCAAACCTGCTTCAGCCGCTCCCGGGTTATCCTGGGCGCTGTTTGGTTGCCGTTTGTTATCACCCTGCTGCCAGCTTGCTGGTATTTCTCGTCCTCGGGTGAAATTCACGTAGTGTGTATGGTTGACCAATGAGAGACCGATAAACGCCAGCAAGTAGCTTCCATATATGGGAAAACCGGCAGCATGTTGACAAAGAAACCGACACCAAACAGCGTCGGTTGTTGCGCACCCAGCCGCCGCGGTCTGCCCGTAGCCGGCCGCGCGGCGCCGCCCACCCACCTCATGTGTGTGTGACCTCGCGCGGCGGCGCCCGGCCCGCACACGGCGCTGGCTGTGTGCCGACCCCCGCCGGGCCGGCCGGCCGCCGCAACACGGATGTTTGTGCGCACCTGAGACTGTAAAACTGCCGGCATTGGTATATGTGTCGTACGTTGTGAGGCGGGCACGCCTGTGTGGTGTGACTGAGATGCTGATGTTTGTGTGTCTGTGTGTGCTGACAGGCGCGCGCACCTGCGGGAGTGCCTGGAGCGGCTACGAGAGGAGGTGCCACCGTGCCCGGACTCGAATCGATCCACCACGCTCGGCCTGCTCACCAGGGCCAGGGACTTTATCAGGGTACGACCGCCGACTTCCACCCAGCTCCACTCCCACCCGTAACCTCAACCTTACTCAACCAACACCACGTCTGCTTCCTGTGGTTACTAATCGCGCAGTTACCTTTGCTACCTTTGCTATCCGTCGCACTTATCGGGGAAAAATCCAGTTAGCTCGAGCCATTGCCCACTTTGATACATTTTAAATAGGTCACTGAATTTCAGCAAGGCTATCCAATATAAGCCTCGCATCGATACCGCGAGAAGTACGCGATAAATGTTCCTGACGCTCGGCTGCGCTGGAGCGTACGGCGCGGTGAAATCGGGGCTGACATGTTTGACTGGCCGTCTCACAACGTGTCAGTCCGTGGCCGTGTCCCTCTGCGCACGGTCTTGTGGCAGGCCGGGCCGGGCTGGCTCGCAGCCAGCGATCAATGCCGACTGGACGCGCGCCACGCGGGGCTCCGCTCGCGGCCACGGCACGAAGCGGCAATGAAAACAAACCCGCCGAGCCACCGGGACGCCGGCAGGGGACTCTGCGGCCGCACGAACGTCCTATCTCGCCGGCATGGCGCAGGTCGTTGATTCGTTGGTTAGTCAGCTTGATTCTTGTGCTGCACGCACATGACGCTGTCGGGGACCACCTATTCGAAGCTCTGTGCAGCTTTGTTTTACCACCCCCTTGTGTCTGGGCGGGGCGGTGAGAGGGATCGGTGTGGCTCCTTTCGCCCGGCGCCGATCTCGGTCGGACCCGGGCCGTGTAAATCCACCGATAACGTGATTACTCCGTCGGTCGGCGCCGGCCTGTAATGCGACTCGGCGACCGGCCGCCGGGTTTTTGTGCGGTGTGGCCGGGGCGCGGCCCGCCCCCTCCAGAGATTGGTTGGCTGAGATGGCCGCGGCCGCCCTGGCGACAGCCGCCGGTGACTGACCGACCCCGGAGCTGGGACTCTGCCCGAGCGGGCGGCTCCCTAGACGGTGACACATACCGGCGAGATTGGCACGGCATTGGTCCGACCGATACTGGGTGCATGTCTTATGATTGGCTTTCTGGCAATACACACCGAGTGTCAGTCATGTGCTGTGGGCTGGTTTTCCTGAACTGTTTTGGCCAATCGTGTGGTTCATGCTGCCTATCGCGGGGAGCATACTTGCCTAGACTGAGCAGACGGTGATCCGACGATGCTTAGCCCGCTCTGTGTTGTATGCCATCAGCCGCCGCCGCTGCCGCCGCTCAGCTGATCGGCCTAACCCAGTCCGTTAGTCGGCGCCGGAGTGCGGGCCTCGTGACGGTGACGTGGCCGTCCTGTCACGGCCGCCCGTCACCAGGAAAACTGGGCACCGCCGCCGGCCGGGCCCACCTCACCAGCTGGGTACCCTGAGTCACTGGACGGCCCTGTCCCTACCTACGGTCCCAGATCGTGGGATCACCTGATCGCCGCAGTCGTCCGGCGCCGCGGAGCCACCGGCTGCCAGATTTGACCGCTGTGGAACCATAACACCAGTCCGGGGGACGGTGTGTGTTGTTTTGCGGCGTGAGACGCCGGCGGGTGTTGTATTGTGTGGGCCGAGTGATGGACACTGCCCAGTCGGCGATCTGACGGCGGACGGCGCAGCCGTACGGCTCTGGACAGCGGGAGACGGCGGAGGTGCGTGCCGACCCGGGAGGCCGCACGGTGAGGGGATTGGAGGGCGACAGAGCGGGAATGTGACCCTGAGAGGATTGGCCGGTCGTGACGAGAGACCCTCACCACCTCTGGGGATCAGCTGGGACCCACAGACTTGCGCAACGTCCGGGAAATCAGCTGATATCCTAGACCGCTCCTGGTTCAGGGAGGTCAGCAGGCCAGCTGACGGGATCGGCGAAGGCTTACAAAGACGGAGAAGGCTTCAAATTATGCGGCCATAAGAGGCAAGCAGCGCTATCTCTCTGCCCTTGTTAGGATTGGCCGTAATCCTACCATCAGATTCAGAAAGAGTTCCACCTCGCGTCCTTTTGTGGCTTGACACATTATCTGATATGCGCATAGAGCTCGGATCTGACCAATTTTCATTGGCTGACCCCAAACCCGGTTGGCCGAACTCATCTGTATGCTCGACTGCGTGTCGTTACACTGTTGATACAGTGTGTTTTACTGATGTGTTACAGTGTGTTTTACTGATGCACTGAGGCTCGGGGGCAGGTCAGCGACCCTGTTCCTCGGCGCTGGACCCGCTCTCTACCACCCGTCGCCGTGTGTCTCCTTCCCGTCAATCGGGACAGTGTGCGGGCCTGAGGATAACGTTCATACAAAGACTGTATTCACGACGTTATCGCAATCACCTGACGCGATCTTTGGTTTTTGGCCCGCCCTGGAATCTCTGAAGTCCGTCTGGTCCCGTCATGGTTCACCGGACGGGGTTTTAAGTCTCGTGCTTAGCCATTGTTTGCTGTCAGCAAATAAACTCATCGATATTTTTATCTTGATATCTGTCTCATGCCTGTCTCTCCGTGACTCTTGTACTTGCACATTTTACACCGTCGGTCTAATGACTCTTAAGCGGGCTTTAACCTCAGACACAACATCTGATTTCTTATCTGTCCCATTTCAGCACCTGGAGGAGAAGGACCGGATGAACTTCCGGTACAAGACGCAGCTGGCGCGCGAGCAGCGGCTGCTGGCCGAGCGTCTGGCGGCACTGACCCCCCGCTGGCGGACGCCGGCCAAGGCGCGGGCCTCGGACAGCTACAGCAGTGGCTCCGACTGGTCCTCCGTGTCCTCACTGTCGTCTGCCGGCTCCAACTTCGAGTGGGCCGACTCGGGTAAGTGTCGGGAGAAGGAGAGGGGTGGTCAGGTCACTTATTATCTGAAAAGTGAGTGCCGTCAGGGAGGCAATGTGCTTGAAGCTAGGCAAGGAGGTGGGTGAGCAGGAGGACGAGTTAGGTCGCTGTGTCGACTTTTCCGAATACCAGCGAGCAAGGATAACCGGAGCTTAGGCCTGGGTTGAGCAGCGGGGTAGGTTGGGAGTTATGGGGAGCAGTGGAGTGCATGGATCAGGGTGCTGTGTCTATCACACCGCCTGCCGTCCGTCCAGATGTACATACTAGTTACATGTGTCGTGATTGGCAACCGTTCTGTCTTTGGTTGAACCTCTCCCCTGATTCCAGACGCGGCGGTTCCTGACCTTTCCTATGTGCCGACAGTAGGGCCTGTAATCTGTATCTTTCCACCGTCGCTGCCAATGCCAGCCTGTGCAGCAGCGAGCGATCCTTACGAGTACGTACATAGTCTGCCCCCACTATCCCTGCCCCGGCCTCTCGGAGGAGCGCGCCGTCACGCCACACGCTGCACGCGAGCAGCGCGGTGTTGGCGGGGTGATTACGGCTGAGTTAGCGGCCGACAGTGACTCGGCGGAAGGCGACTCCACCGGTGCCACTGCGCTACACCGCTCAACTCTGGGGCGCAGCTCTGCCGGGCGTCCGCCGGCCGTGCGTGGCGCACTCGGTGGGCGTGGCTGGCCGAACGAGTCGACCTTGGCAGGGAGCGGCCGCCTGCGCTCTGCGGTTCGTGCCAGCGTGCAGGACCCGGCCCGGAGCTGACCTCTAGCCGTCCCGAGGAGGGCCAATGGATGCGGGCGGTGCCCCCGGACCCAGGCTCGGGTACTGTGAACGTCCGCGGGTAGAGGTGATAAGGATCGACGCTTCTCGGAGTGCCGAGGGTTGGTGTATGGTGCCGCTGCCGGCCTCTACGCCTTCCACGGAACCGGGCGGTACGGGGAGGGCTGTGTTTGGTTACAGTGCTGTAGGAGACTTCTGTCGACTGACTCAGGGCCATTTGTGGGCCGAAGCCGGCCTGCAGTGGACGAGGTCTCGTGCAACACATCTGCGCCCTCAATGTTTGCGTGTTTCCCTCACCACACAAACGATGGTGGTTAAATTTATCGGACAGGTCCTCAACACCCCGCCCAACTCCGTTTTCTGCTCACGATGGCTGCCAATCTCACTGGCTCCCCCAACAGTGAGAGATAATATTGACGAGCTGTCATCAGGTGCATTGTCCACCAAAAAGTCTGTTACCCATGATTCGTCTGTTCAGTCACGCACTGAGGCAGCAGTTGTCCTGGGGAGAGCGCGACCTTCGGGCGGCGGGTCCGTCGCGCCCGTCCAACCACGGAGCGTGTCATTGCGGCGGTTTGGGCCGGCCGGCCGCCCGCTGGGTGTCGGGGACCTTGAGCGCGGCTGCAGGGCTGCAGTGCAGGGCGCACCTGTACCGGGGCGGCCCAGCTGGTCGGCGGCCGGCCGGACCGGTCGGCCCGGCCGCGCCGTCAGCTGACGGACCGCTCAGCTGACTGCGCGGCGGCGACGGCCGGCCGGTGACCCCTCTCAGCCCGCGGCGGCCGAGGGCGGCGCTCGCTGATCTGTATACAGCAGGGAGCATCACTGCGGCGGCGTTAGGCCAGGGAGGCCAGGACGGCGTGTTTCACCGACATTACTACAGCCGTTTTCACAATGAACCCGCACTGCGCCGGCCGAATACCGGCGGGCCCGCATCTAACCACCGCCACTTCATCGCAGCGAAACAAAAAGCTCCGCCGGAGCCTGGGGACGGCGCCGGCGGAGCGCCGCGCGCGGGCTCCGATCACGCACGGCGCCGACCCTGGCCGCGGCCGGCGGCGGAACAAAGCCGATTGGCCCGGCCGCGGGCCACGTCTCCGCGGCGCGCGCACTTTTTACCGGCCGCTAATTGGTCCGTTGGCGGCGACACGGCGGGCGCCGAGGGCGCACGGCGCGCCGCCGCAAACTGCCCGCTCTGGGGCCATCGCAGCGGACGGACCGCCGCCGGCGCGCCCGGCGGACTCGGCTGTCGCCATGATGCCGTGTGGCTGGTCCCTACCTCGATAGTGAGAGAAGAAAAGGCAGGGCATCACTGGTTCGATCCGGCTCCGACCGCTGCCGTTTGCGTCGGTCATTGTATGCCGAGCGGCTCGGATACCACTCAGTAATGAGATGTTTCCGCCGCGGCGGTTCCATCGACCCTTGTGTGTATTGCACCACGGACGCTCTCTACCGCGGACAAACATGGCTGCCACTCTCCGATCCCGACCCAGACCCGATCGCCCTCGACCCGACCCGACCCGACCCCGACCCATCGGCCCCGACCCCGTTCTCCGTCGTGAGATGAAGTGCCTTTCGCTAATGAGATCACCCCTCTCCACTCATATGTCTGCTGCGCTCAATATGCCGGAGACTGACCGTGCAGCGCCTGCCTCTCAGATGTCTGTTGCGTGTTTACGTGCCGCTAACCCTGGGCCGCCATGGCCGCACCGTCTGACCCTCGCTCCCCTTCGCTCAGATGACGTGGAGAGCGGCGGCGGCAGCCTGAGTCCCGGCTCGGACGGCAGTCAGGAGGAGGCTGACGGCGCCGCGCTGGGACTCGCCTCACTGGCGGTGACCACCGGCCGCCGCGCCCTGCTGGCCTGAGGTGAGTTGAGGAACGCTCACCGGCGGCGGGTCACGGCCGGGCAGGGAGGTGCCGTGCGCTCACCGAGCCAACCGTGTCATTAGGTGTCATCAGTGGGTGGATTAATATCGCGTCCCGCCGAGCCGGGCGACCCGCCCGCGCCGTACCCGCGCCGCCCAGGGACTCTAAACCACGGCGGTGTTTATCTGAAGTACCCCGTCCGTCGGTGACAGTTGGGACGCCTGGCAACGAAACGAACTTCCTTTGTTTTGATTGTGTATGAATTCAGCTCCGTTCAGGTACACAAGGGCAACTAGAGGTCGCTTTATACAATGTTTCCCGCAGATGTTGCTTTTTGTGACTAAATAGCACTTATCACCGAGCTATTCTCATTTCATGCATTGACACACCTATGCAAACATCATGCGTATTGTATCCGACGCCGATGCACGGGGCCTCAATGTCGCATTCACTGCGATCTAATTAAACCTGCAATTTAAATGGGGCGCTTTTGTTTTGTTGATGTGACATTTACACTGCCTTTTTAGGAATAGTGCCCTTGAATGTCACGATGCCACCATATTTGCAGTCGGATCTGTTCTTAAGCCTGGGGCACCGACCCAACAACCACACGGGCGCACCAATCCGCCTGGGCACCAACGGCCGCTCGGGCGCACCGACCGCCAGAACACTCGTCATCGGTCATGCATGCAGTTTCCACATTTCATTAACAGCGGCCGTGGCGCGGGCCCCAGTCGCTAATAGGCACCGCTTTGATCGCGCTCCATGCAGCACGGTTCGGCGTGGCTCGGACAGGCCGGGCTGGTACCGCGCGGCTCACTGTCACGAGCGGGTCTCTGCGCCCGGCCGAGGGCGCCGCACCATCGGCCGTTGCAACACAGCCGCAGTTGCGCAATTGACGCGGTTCTCGGCCGACGTCTCTCCGGGTAAATTGATCGGGCTCCGAGCGTCGACCGTCCTTCGGAGGTGGTGCGGATGGTAGCACGCGCCGGGGAGTGCTAGCTGAGCGGGCGTGGGGTGTGGGTTAGGAGAACTCCGAGGGTGCGATGACTCCGCGCCGCACCTATTTCTAGGCCTGCTGTGATTGTTGTGGTGACTCCCTGTTGATTGCTCTGACCGGCACTTGACACTTAATTACCATCGTGTTTCTGAACGGTGCCTTTCTGTGTTCCAGGCCGTCACTGGTCGGGTGTGGCGAACCCCACTGGAAAGTACCTGGTACTCTACCTCGGGGAGCGGCCGGCCTCCGGTCGACTCTGACGCTCTGCCGCTCCGAGCCACCCACCGCGCGGCGCACCCATCGCCCACCGCCGGCCGGAGCTAACCATTTTCCGCAGTGTACACGGGTCACGTACACCCGTGCTGTTATTGGACGCACGATCTCGAAGCTAAATGAGCAAATTAGGCCTATGATGATTTTTGATTGACCAATAATCTCCAGGCTAGTGCCGACCTATGAATGAATTGGACAACGGAGCTTTACTGGCGTGTGCGTGTCTGTCATTGTGGTGATATTTCGGGAGAGGCAGAGGGAGAGAGAGAGCATGACGGACGGCTCGGAGCTGGAAGCTTTAGCGTGTAAGCGGCGCAGGGGCAGCCGGTTATCGGCAGGTGCCGCCTGCCGGACAATGTTAGCAACATGTAAATTCATGCTATCAAAATGAGCGAGTCAGAGTTTTATTTAACTCGGTTGGACCCAAGGTCGAGGCGCGTCTCGTGAGAGGGGAGGAAGCCTGTTGGCTGCGCGGGTGCTCGGTATGTCAGGTACGGGCTCGCCTGTATTGGGGCTGCCTCGTGGCGGAGGCTGCCTGGTGACGTCACGTGCGGGTGGGGACGGCGGCGCCGGCCGCCACCGCCCCCGCCCGCTGTCAGCGGCGTCTGATTTGGTTCTCGGTGTGCGTGCAAAACGGTATGTGCGGCTTTTAAAGGTACAAAACGCTTGCTGTTCGGCGCTGGGGCCTGCCGACATTACGACTGGGCCGTGACCGGTGACAGGTCACCTTCCACAGATCACCGGTGACCTGTCACAGGTCATGGGTCACCTGTGACGGGTCACCGGTCACCTGCTGGCTGTCACCGGTTACCTGTCACTGGTCACCTGTGTCAGGTAACCCGTGACAGGCCACCTGGCGCCGTAATGGCTCCGTCAGTCGGCGGCACGCAGCGCTGCAGGCTGTGCGCTGAATATGTCAAGCTTTATTTATTAGTTCTGTAGTGCGGCTGTCCAATCGCCTCAATGACCAGTGATACCCGTGATTGGGACCGTCTGTTACGCAGCGGGCGGCGCCGCAGCAAATTTCCGCCGTCCGAGACCGTGCATGTAACCTCAGTCGTTCGTAGCTGACTAGGTGCTAGGTAGGTAGGTAGGAACTGCAATTCAACTCTCGTTCTCTCCTCAATACAATGTGGAAATGTGTCAGCAGTGTTTTTGGTCCTCTTGGAGGCTGGTTGTGCTTGCTGCGTGGTGTTATGACGGATGTAACGGTAAAGGTACTTATAAACATGTTCCATTTACTTCCGGATCTAGGAGATAAGGTACATGACGCTGCGTATGGGGCACAGTACCTTTGCATTTCACCAAGAAAGGCTGCTCAAGGGCTATGGGTATCGTAAAAAGACAGTTCAGTTAAAAAAGAAAGGATTTCAGTTCCAGTGACTCGAGCAATTTGAAGCCATTCTTATGTTTAGTTTTCTTTCTATGAAAAACGACAAAATATCGTACATTTTGGACGCTGCAGGTGCAGAACTTAACCCTAAGAGCCCTTTCCCCTCTACACGTCAGCAGTTTTGTGATTTGTCGATAAAATGCTCGAAACCGAAAATCTCCAACCCAGTGCGCCGCCTTGCGGTGTGTTAACAATGCTGAAAAATTCCTTCATATGGAAGCATATGGCGCTAAACAGTTCTGCGCCATAAAATGCGCTAATGTGACATTCAACTTTCAAAGCTAACATTCAAGAAACTACGCAGCGAGCTACGATTTCAAATCGCTATAGCATTTCGTTTGATATTTTTGAAAGCGCGGCCTTTTCTGATCCATGAGCAGGTGCAGCGAAAGTTATGAAGTAATATGAACACATTCGGCAATACTGCATAGGCGACAACCGACAACAAATCAACAAATCAGCGCGGGATTTCGCTGATCTTGGGTTGGGAAGTTGATATAATAGACGATAATAAGCGCCCTAAACCAAAACAACAACAACATAGACGATAATAAGCAAATACCTAACTAGAAGTAGGCAAGCAAGATACGGACGTGTCAATTGCTGATAGTGATACAGCACAATGCCGAAGAGTGAAAGAGGGTCCTGAGATATGACCTGAAGGCTGAAGCTAAAACATAAAGAGATGTCCAAGAAGTTGAAGTGGTCTATTCTGATCCGATTTTGAATTAAGTATTGGTATAGGTAAACCAGAATGGATTCTGATGCAGATAGCAATATGGCTGCTGAATGCGGAAGTGAAGGTGAGGGTGCTTGTTAATGTTTTGAATGTTCATAAGTGGTTATTGTGATTGAATGTGCTTGCAGTTCTGGGCTATTTCAATTTTGTATTTTCTAATTCTGAAGCCAGGTTTTTAGTTAATTTCGGACATGGTTTTGAAAGTCTGAATTATTTTTGGCAATATTTGATGTAGTTACCAACTCTTGCTGGCTGCTGCCCTTTGTATAATTTGCTTGACACTTATTATTATCCATTGACGATTTGTGGAATCAGATTATAACTTGTGTATGCTTTGTTTTCATTGTTTCTGGTAATCTCTGAATTACCTTATTTCATTCCTCATAAGTAATTGGTTAGCCAAGCAATTATTTTTATAATAATATAATTTGGCAACAGGCAATACAAAACTATTTTCAACTGCGTGCTCCAGAATAACAATATATTAGTATATTCTTAAAGAGAGGTTGATACTTGATAGCCTGGAAGGCTAATGCATGTCCATTGTTCATACTCTGATGATGTTATTGGAAACACTTACAGGCTTCATTTGGGAACAATATTTGGAAGATTCTGAATTGGGAGCTGCAGACTCATCGGTATTTAAACATGTAAGAAGATGTGATTGGTGTCTTAGTACAATCATTTCATTTCATTTAGATATATTTTATGACAGCACATGATTCATGGTAGGCAGATTGAGATTATGGTAAATGGAAAGCAAGTGCTTATTACATTTGCAGCAAATTAAATAGATTTTTAGGGTAGTTGACAAATGAGGAATGATCAATAACTTGTCATTTATACATCTTAGCTAGTCATTGAGTAAGCCTTCATCTTCAGTCCTATTTCTTTCTAAGATACCCCAGTCATAAGGGCATTCTCACATGTGTGAATGACTCCATGGCTGTGCTGCAGGTTCAGCAGGATGCACCCACCTACTCAGTCGGAGATGTGGTGGAGGTGGTGGCAGGTGGCGGTGAATCGGTCTGGCCTGCCACGGTCACCATGGTCTGTGATGGTCTGATCAGGTCAGTGCTGGAAGGTGCTAGCAGGGATGAGGAGCTCAATCTGCCATCTGGATAACCAAACACCAAGAAACAATAAAGGTGAAACTTGCTTAGATACTGTTGAGGAATCTGATCGCAAGAGACATTGTTTGGTTTGAGTTGAGGTGACTGACATGCATATTTGTCAAAACCTACATCTAGCCAGTAACGTTCCCGTCGACCCCGGCAGGGTGCGGTACCTGGGCAGCAGCGGCTCGGCTGGCGATCTCTGGTGCGACGCGGCCGGCTCCCGGCTACGACCGCTCGGGTGGAGCCGGCAGCAGGACGTACCGACGGTGGCGCCGCCTGGAATCTCAGCCGACGAACTACCAGAGGGCGTTACGGGTCTGAAACAGGAGCAGGGGGCGCCACCAGTCCGGACGGTGAGCAGGGACCGACGCGACGGTCGGGCTCGTCACGAGTAATGTCCACCGTCTGCTCTTGAGTAATGTTTGCTGCCGCCGTGTGGCTGGTCTGAATTGTGTCGATGTTCAGCTAAGTCTTGAGTGTGGTGAGTGGCAGCTGCGTACGGGCAGCTGTGTCTGGGGTATCTGCTTGTTTCAGTCTGTCTACCGCAGGGCTGCGGAGTCGGAGTCGGAGTCGGAGTCGCAGTCGGTCGGAGTCGACAGTTGTGACCTGGGTCGGAGTCGGAGTCGGAGTCGATTTTAGAAACCCGAGCCGGAGTCGGAGTCGGAGTCACCGAAAATCTGTCGACTCCGCAGCCCTGCTAGGTCTGCGGAGTCGGAGTCGGGAGTTGGAGTCGGTCGGAGTCGACAATTCTGCCCGGAGTCGGAGTCGGAGTCGGAGCTGGTTTTTGAAAGCCGGAGTCGGAGTCGGAGTCGCCGAAAATCCATCGACTCCGCAGCCCTGGTCTACCGTGTACCGGCCACTGTCTGGTGTTTCTGATTGTCTTGCCGTGTCTGCTGTGCACGGACCACTGCCTGGAGTGTCTGATTGTCTTGCCGTGTCTGCTGTCTGCAGTGTGGAGTGGATCTGGAGCGGATCACCGAGGGGATGAAGCTGGAGCTGCTGGACGATAACGAGCCGTACCACGTCTGGACGGCCACGGTATGACTGGAAACGATCTGAACTGACTGATCACTGACCCAACTTAACCGCGCATTACACGACCCGAGCTGGTTTGTCCAGGCTATCTGACATTCAAATGGTACCCAGCTCCAAACCGTTGCCGACTCTCACCCATTTCAAGCAATGTTACTTTACTTCCTCAGGAAAGAAAAGTAATTTTTTTCCGAATTGAGAGAATCTCCGAACAATTCGCCGATCGACGGGGCGCACGTCGATGGCCGAGGTTATCCACCAACTGACATTACCCCTATATGATATGCATTCTGCACCCACCCAGGCCTGTCCCCTGCCATCTGCAGTGGAGCTCAGTATGGCCGCTGTCTCCTCTCCCAGGTTCTGGAGCGGTGCGGGGTCCGCCTGCACCTGCGCCGCGACACACTGGATAACACGCCGGACCTCTGGTTGTGCGCCAACTCTCCGCGAGTCCGACATTTCGGCTGGACGGGCCGTACCGGTAAGTCCGACCGGTAACAGATGTGACCGGTGTGTGATTTAGTGGTGGAACCGTCCGTGCTGGGTCCGCGCTGCCCCGCCCCGTCAGCACTGAACACTGGTGTCAATCGACACCTTGCTTTTCTCGATACATTTTTATAGGTACCTATGGTTGTATAGTAACGACTCGGCCGCACTTAAACAATTTGGAAATTTGTTTATTCGGTATAATGACCACTTCTATTACGGTTTTTGCGTTTCGATGTGTAATAAGTTACAAGCGTCATGCCAGGTGGGTAGAAACAAGTCAACTTAGATAATAACTTCTGCTACAGCTACATCTACTTCCTCTGCTCTAAGGTTCTTCGATGCAGTGCCACTTGGAGTGGTACCCCTGCTGTCATTCCCATAATTTAGCCCGTGCTCGTTTTTCGCCATCAGGCGCTCCGTTCGTGTACCGGCCGCCGAGCTCGTGTGCCAACGACCGTACCGAGGCGGAGTGGCAGGCCATTCTGGAGATGAGCCGGGACGAGGCGCGTCAGATGGCCGTCGACGACTCCATACTGCCGGTGGGTACTAGGTACCTGCTGCTGACAACGCAGCCGTCGGACTGGCCTACGTCCGACCTTGAGTGATTTTGGAGAGACGATCGCATCATGGTCGGTGGATTGCTTCTGTTACGTTTACGTCATACATTAGTCTTCGCAGCTTTTTAAGTCATAACTTGTTTCGTATTGCGGGAAACTACTTGAAGATCCGAACACAATATGTGTCATACTTATCATAGTCAAAGCCAGGAAGTGCATCTGTTCACGTTCATTTAACGACACCCGTTCCTCTCGTGTAACCGGCAGCACGTCAAGTTCGAGTTTCCCACCAAGCACTCGCTGACCGTGGGCTGCCGACTGGAGGCCGTGCACCCGGACCGCACGGCCATCTGCCCGGCCTCTGTGGTCGCCGTCATAGACTCGTACTTCTTCCGTGTGCAAATAGATGACTCCACCGTCTCGTGGCTGTCCTCACTGGACGATCCGACCATCCTTCCGTTCGGTGAGGCGGGACACAGTGATGGCAGTGATGTAAGTTGGTATGCTCAGTTGTTTGTCATGTCTTGGCTATGTTTACAAAAATCATGTCATCCTTTGAGGTAGATAAATTGTCGCTAAAAGCATTCACAACGGAGATTGATCAGAACTATTTTTAGTTTGCATCCACCGTATCCACTGAGAAAGGCGATCAATCTCGTGTCAGTTACTCTCGTGATCTCGTGATTAATCTCGTAATCCAGTGTCGGTGTTCTATTTGTGATATTAATGTTTCGTAGACATTTCTCTGTCAAACGAGGATAGTTTGCTGAGCTCGGTCCGCCGTTCCCGTTGTGTGTTACAGGTTGGTGCCAGGAGCACGGTCTGGACTGTTCCGGCGACGACCTGCTACCCTCCCGGGCTCCCTCCCCCGAGGAGGAGAATACCACCCAGCCGACCTCCCCACTCCAGAACCTATCCGAGGGAGCCGAGAAACTTCCGAACGGGGACGGACACCAAACAGAGGAGCCGGCGATCAAACAGGAGATAGATGATACACCGGACAGTCAGCAGACAGCTGATATAGCAGACAGCCAACAGACAGAGAACATAGCGGACAGTCAACAAGCATCGGATCTCGGAGGCAGTCAGCAGACAGACGACATAGCAGACAGCCAGGAGCCAGATGGCATACCAGACAGTCAACAGAAAGAAGACCTGTCAGACAGCCAGGAGACGGTGAATATATCAGACAGTCAGCAAACAATAGGTCTTCCAGACAGCCAGGGAACAGAAGATCTGCCAGATAGCCAGACGCCAGACGAGATACCGGACAACCAGCACCTGGAAGATGTGCAAGACAGTCTCCATACCTTAGATCTCCCAGACAGTCAACAGACAGTAGACATAGCAGATAGCCAGCAAACAGTGGATATACCGGACAGCCAGATGATGGAAGACATACCAGACAGCCAGCAAACATTGGATCTCGCAAACAGCGAGCAGACAGGGGGCATATCAGTCACCCAGCAAGTCGATCTGCCAGACTATACCGAAGACGATGACCCACTGCTCAGCCAACAGGCTGTGGATATTCCCGAAACCTCTGAGCCTGATGCCATGCTGGTGGATAATACGGGCCTGGGCCTGTCTGACATTGAATCGATGGACGATTTCCCAGACAGTCCGGTGATGTCTCCGCTGTCTGATTCCCGACAGGCAGACAACGGGCCGGACAGCGGGCGGACAGCGGAGCTGAGCGGGTCGCTGTCTGGCGGCGTGGTGGGAGAGTGGCTGCTCGAGGAGCCCGGTCAAGGGACGGACGAGCCGGCCGTGCTGGATGGTGGCGAGCCGTGGCTCCATCTCAGTCCCGTCTCTGAGGAGGTGCTGTCCCGGCCGCCGACGGGGACTGGCGAGCGGCGGACACCGTCCTGCGCCGCCAGTCCCGGCTCGCGGCCGCAGTCTGGTGCCGGTCCACCGCCGTCAGAGCCGAGCCCGCCCGGTGACGATGTATTACTGGGGGAGATAACCAGCCCAGGGCTCAATCAGGTGGAGCGGGATATTCCGGGCCCAACTGAGATTGAGGACAGCCCTGAGCCCGTCGAAGTGGAGCTGTCACTCGGCTGTGATCTCTCCCCGACGGCCACCGACGCGCAGTCGGAAGGCGGTGACGATGTTCCTCCTGAGGACGTGCTCCTCGAGCTGGAGGATGGAGATGATCCCGCTGAGGACGGCGAAGTCCCTCCGCCGGAGGACGTGCTTCTCGAGTTGTTGGACAGCAATAACCCTCCGCTGGAGAACGTTGATGACTCTCCAATGGAGGAAGGCAAAAATGCTTCACCAGAGGATGGTGATCATTCTCCGTCGGAAAACATACCCGCCGAGCCGGAGTCACCGATTGAAACTGCCCTCCATTCGACGGAAAACGAATTGCTCTCGGTCGCTGAGGCTGCCCCACCGACAACCGACACAGAACCACCGTCTTCTGATCTTCCTGCGGGTCTGGACGCCACTATTGCCAGCGCTCTTCCTGAGGCTGTCGCCGCTCCGTTGCCAGCTAATGATGCCTCTATCGTTCCTCAGCCTGTGGCTGCGGCGGGCAGCGCGGCATCCCTAATTACTGAGCCGCCGACGACCGGTGGTGTCTCTGCAAGCAGCGCGGCTCCCTTGATCGAGACGGCGCCGCTTGAAGACACCGCAATCCAGCACCAGCAGGAGAAGATGGTCGACAGCTCCGCACCTGCTGTGACCGATGCCCTTGTCGGCTCCCCCCGTGCCAGGACGGGCCCTGTCCCTGTGGAGTCCTTTGTGACTGTCTCGGCCGATGGCGGGCGAAAGGAGGATAACGACTCATCTGCCGCCGGCTCTGGTCCCAGGAAGTCTCCTGCGGCGGGCTCCGGTCTAGATCTTGTGGAGTCTGTGGTGGCAGCGCCAGCCGGTGGTATAACACCAGAGGATGTCTCTCCGGCCGTTGGGCCCGGTCCTTTGAAATCTCCTTTGACTGCACCAATCACTGGTGTGCAGTTGGAAAACAGCAGTTCCGCTGGCGCTGGGTCCGGTCCTGTGGAGCCTGTTGAGGCGACGCCGGCTGGTGGAGGGAGGACGGAGGATAACGGCTCATCTGCCGCCGACTCATGTCCCGTGGATTATCATGCGGTGGTGACAACGCCGGCCGGTGGCGAGCGGCCAAAGAACAGTTTTACTGGCGCCGGAGCTGGTCCTTTGCAGCCTGCCGAAACGACTCCGGTCAGTGGAGAACGGACGGCGGAAAATGAGTCCTCCCGTGCTGACTCTGGTCCCGATAAGTATCTTGTGACTGCGCATTCTTCAGACGAGCGGTCAGAAAACAGTCTCCCTGGCAACGGACCTGATCTCATCGAGTGTTCTGCGGCCAGCTCCGGTGTCGGTACTGAAGGTTCTTATGTGACAGTGTTAGCCGGTGGCCGGAAGCAGGAAGACGACTCCTCTGGTGCAGAGCCCGGATCTGGAGCATCTCCGGCAGTCGGCTCCGGTGTCGGCGCTGAAGGTTCTTCTATGACTTCGCCAGCCGGCCGTGCGCAAACAGAGGCTGACGACCGCTCAGCCGCCAAGCCCGAATCTGAGAAGTGTCGACCTGTGGCCGGCGTCGAACTCAGTCCTATTGAGTCTACTGTTACAGCTCCGGTCGCTGGGCCGCCGGAGGAGACAGGCTCAGCTAGCGCCGACTGCGGTCTCGTGAAGTCTCCTGTGGTTGGTGCCGGTCTCAGTCCTGTACAGTCTTCTGTTGAAGTACCGGCTGTTGAAGGACCACCGGAGAAAGACGACTCCTCTGGCGCCAGTGACGATCTCATGGAGTCTGCTACGGCGGCGCCGACTAGCGATGCGCAACCACAGGATATCGTCTCCACTGCTGTCACTCCTGATCCCGTGGAGCCTTCTGCTTTGACTGCACTGACCGCTGACGAGCCACCGGAGGTCAGCTCCTCTGCCGCCGGATCCTGCCCTCTAGATTCACCTGTGACTGTGTCATCCATTGGTGGGCCTACGGAGAAAATAGACGCTTCAACCGCTGGACCCTGTCCGGTGGATCCTCCCGAGACTGCGCCGGCCGCCGAAGAACCCCCCGAGGACGATACCTCACGGCTTCAGTCCTCCGACCTGGCGGCCCAGGAGCCGGCGGACGAGGTCGGACTGGCCGCCGGCACTGCTCTGGAGCTGGTGGATCCCGAGGCGCCCGACCAGCTGTGCGCGGCAGCCGTGCAGCGCACAGCCGGACACCTGGTGTGGCTACGGCTGCTCTCGGCGGCAGGGTGAGTGCGGAGATCAGAGAAAGGACCCAGGGGTGGCAGACGACTGTCGAGAGGGCTGTGTGGGCCTCTCGTGTCACGTGTGGCCAGACATATAATCTTTACAGTTGAAGGCTATTGGATGAGAGCTACGCAACACTCCATCTGCCCATGATAGCAGAGCTGTTAATATCCGGGCTTTTGACGGGATTCTTGGACTGGTGCATGCTGTCTGTAATATCCAACTTACTGTCTGCTTATCAGTTCTCCAAAATGCCACTTTGTTAGGCATACAATGTCACCGAGTTGATGTATCAATTTCCCCACGTCCTGTCCATCTGTGGTTTGCTGCCATTAGACCTTGTCAACCTTGTGTGCCAATGCCCCATCAGCGAGAGCCTGGCCCTCTCTGACTTCTCTCCATTCCCACTACACACGCACACAAACCATCAGCGGACTCTGACCATCCCCTCTCCCCCTCAGCGCACCAGACTTCATCTACCCGCACATGAGCGACTCGCTGTTCCCGGTGGGATGGGCGGCGTCCAACGGCGCATCGTTCCAGCCGCCCCTCGACTGGGGCGACCGCCGCCCCCGCCCCCGCCCCCGCCCGCGCCGGCGACGCCGCTCGGCTGGAGACCGCCGCCACCGGACGCACAGGTGAGGATCCTCCCCGGACGTGATTTAGGCTCCCCGGACACTGCTGCTTTGTGAGGGAGTGGAAAAGTCGCTCGGCTTTATGACAGTGAGTAAGGAGCCAGCACTTCGTATAGAGGCTATTTGGTACGTTGGATTAGTTTAGAGTTTCACACAGCGGTGATTAATTTCTAGAGGGAAAGTTGGGTTCATTCTTTCATAGGTGGTTAATTGCGGCGACTAGGAGCTGGGTTCTCATGAGCGGATGTGACCTGTAAAAGCGATAGTGAGGAGGTGACGTGGTCCGTTACCCGAATCTGTCCTGTTCTCGTTTGGACGGGACACTGGTACTCGGTTCTCCAGTACGTAGGTAACACGGTCTTGTCTCATTGCCCCGTTCTGATTCCCGTGGTTGCTCGGCAGCGCTGCGGACGGCTCGGCTGGGTCTGAGGCGGAGGAAGCTGAGCTGCCGGGTCCAGACAGTGCAGCCAGTACGTGGACGGGGCCTCTGTACGTCAACACGTCCTGCTGTACCGGCCCGCTGCTCAGCACCAACAAGCTGGTGGCGCAGCCAAGGGTAGGTGCTGATCGGCCCCGCCCCCTTCTGTACCGACGCTAGGCCTCCCGCTCCCCCACGTCCTGCGCACTTCTCCGTACTCGCCCCCGCCAACGCTAACGCTCCCCCTCCAGGTTCATGGCCCCATCGTAACCCCGCCCTGCCTTGGGCTCGCCACGAGCAGGGAAATGGAGGGATATCCCGGCTGATAATATGGGCCACTGCATAGTTAAAACGTGCCATTTCGCCATTACGGGGATGCTTGCTAAGTCCAAATAATGAATTCATAAATCCGCTTATCAACTGTGGATGGAAAGAGTGGATACTAATGGGTTTCACAGAATTATGTGGCTTGTAGTCGCTAATGGAGTTGTTAAATAGGATCTTGCGGATAGTATCTATCTGCCGAATGCCCTGCAGTCAGGTAGGCGAGGCCTGTCAATCCAGAACAATGCCCCAGTGCGGTTCGAACGGTTCGATCTTAGATCTCCGTCCTCTGGTCGTTAACGGAAATGTCGACGGAAATTGCCGCCAATCTACCTCAGACACCCTCCCACCAGCCAGCTAGTCCTGTGAAGATTTTAAATGGCATGAGATCAATGGCGGATCCGGGATTTTCTTCGGCTAGGGGCCAATGGCATCGGGGGCGGCATGTTTTCCACTTGTCAGGGGCGGCCAAATGTACGATTGTGGCGCCAATAGTGAGGATCGAAGATAACTTTTTATCTAGCCCCTTCCTCTGATATTGTTTTAGTTATTGGCGATTTTTATAGAGTTGCGGCGCTCTGATAAGAAGCTCGTTAGGGCGGGATATTTTTTCGGTTAAGGGCTTTAGCCACCAAAGCTCCTCCCCTGGACCCGCCCCTGTATGAGATGTTGCCAGCAGCACTGCGACTGTACTTTCTGGTCCTCACGGGCCCATTAATTTTAAATTGGACTCCCAATGCAAGATTAATGATGTGCAGACATAACTCTGAATTTTACTAGAAACGCCCTCTTTAGGGCTGCACACGTTCCTTCTCGAAACAGTGTTCTTTGGCTGTGTACCCGAAACATAATGCAACAGTTGTAATGGCTTCAGCACTCCGAAGGGTAAAGAACTGGAAGCGATTCAACAGGCTTATGCCGTTGTGAGTACTTAGTACGAACCGCTATTTATCGCTGCCAGGTTCCTTTAGGTTCAATTGTAACGTTTGCTATTTGTTCACTACTGGCGGACTCTTTTCTCAGGAAAGAAATCTACATTTGTTTTGTTGTGTCCTTCCTGCTTCTGACCTTATGTGCGCCGCTGTAACATCCAAGTTCGTACGAAGAAATACGCAACGACGTCCAAAATGGACCGGCGGGCTGTGGTACTCATGTTAGGGGAAGTGGGAACACAACGATACTGGCTCTTAGCCAATGCCACACGTATTTTGATGTCCTTATTGCATATTAACGACGTTATTGATGGAATTATGCATAGGCGCAGGAACCAGGGGGGGGGGCAGTGGGGCAGCCTGCCTCCCCCCTCCAACTCTAGGCCCGTGGGGGGGGGGGGGGTGCCCCCACAACTTTGAGACACTTTTTTGCAAATGTTTTCTTTTGTCGTCGAAAAAGCAAAGTGATGAAATATAAGTGGCCTAAAACCGGTCAGATTGAGAAAACTAGATTTCGGGGTACCCCAGGTTGATCTCTATTATGGTGTTCCCCCCCCCCCCCAAGTCTGAAAGAAGTTCCCGCGCCCCTGGAATTATGTAATGTATTGTAGATGTTATAGTTAGATGAGGTGATGAGGCGATGATGAGACGGCTGCGTTAATATCCAGTAAAGCTGCCGTCGGCTTCCATAGCTGATACGTCACCTTATTGATTCAGATTGGAGCAATTGTTTGTCTAGCACTTTTATTCTTACCGTTTAATAGATTGACGTGAAACAGTAAGCCTCCTCTTGCGTGGATCTTTTCAGATAAACTGAATGAATAACTGAATAACGCTCATTCCGATCAAGTTAGCTTGACACGCCACACTCTATCTACTGTGAAGTTTCCTTGCCTCTAGCCAACGTATTGCCGATGTTGATAGTGTTATTTTTTCTGATAATCTCACAAGGCATATTGACTGTCACCGCTTATAGTTACATAATTGGGATGTTGTCTGTCTAGTCTTTCCACTTGTTCAATTAGTGTGAAACCTGAACAGTGCGCTGTGTACGGGCTGGCCGGAGGCCGGGCTGCGGCTTAAAGTGGTGCTGCTCATTAATTTATGAGCTGCCGCTCATAAGTTTCTCGTTAAAGCGTCTATTCTTACCAACGCAACTTCATCAAAGTAGCTTGGTCATTAATCCTCCCATCAGAGTGACAAGGGAATGAAAATTGAGGTTAAAGCTACCCACGCTTCGTGGAAATGCAGTCTTTTTTTTGCAATGTACCCATCAAATAATAACATTTTACTAAGCTGGTATTTAATCGGCACATAAAACATCCTAATCGCAGGCGACATATGGATGAATACCTAATGAATATGTGCGCGTTGATGTATGCATTATTAATGAAAATGTGCTGTAGGATCTAGGAGCAAGGACTTGACGCGAAGGCACATTTCCTTGCTTTATTCAGCTCTGTGGTGGTGATGCATGTTATCGATCCGCCTTTTTGGAGCACGGCCGTCAGACCGGTGTTCCCAGTTCCAATCCGACATTGAAATGGGTAGGGATCAACATGTTGTGTGGGCGACCCGTGTTGACATCGGCAACAGTCTCAGTTGCGAGTCTGGTAAACTTCTGAAGGCCTTTTTTACATCTACCCTTTCGCTGCCACCGGTGAGTATCCGACGCTGATTGCTGCCGCGCACGGTCGCACAGCCTCCGGTAGTCTGTTCTGTCGCGCTGCACAAACAATACCCGGTTGTCAAAGCTCCGGGAAATTTCAATAGGCTATATGATGGCTGTGTTTGTTTTTCTGCGGTCCGGCTGTCGCATAGAAGGCTGATATCCGGTTACCGCTGGCTCGTGGACGGCTCAGCGCTCGGAATAAGCTCGGCTGCAGTTCATTCGCAGCTCAATTTCCGGCTCGACCGCAGCTCTGTCGCAGTTCATTCGCAGAGCCGTCACAGCCGTTTTGCGGCTCAGTCACATTTCGGCCGCAACTCATTCACACTTCAAACATAGCCTGGCTGCAGCGTATTCGCAGCTCAGTCCCTGTTCGGCCCCGCTCAGTTGCGGCTCAACTACAGCCCATTCACACGTCTACCCGACCCGACCTCACTCTGACTGTGTCTGTCGTCAGCCGCTCTGACGGCTCGGACGGACCGTTCCCGATCAGAGCCGCCCTGAACTGACCGGCCGACCGCCGCCGGCCACCATATGGTAGCTGACTCCGATGGCGCCATGCATCATTCGTTTCGACGACGGAATATAGATGATGCTTTCAGCGCCGGTAACGGGCGACTGATGGCCGGGACAGCGCGGCGGCGCGGCCAAAGCGGAGCGGCTGTGACAGACGGCCAAAGCGGCCCACCACGGGCGTCTCGCCGTCTCTCCCCCATCCCCGGTGGGTCCCCCGACCGGTGTTGACGGGGAAGGGGGGAGGGGGACTCCAAAGGTGGAGTAGTTATGGGGACAGGGGTAGCCCGTTCGGGGGAGCGGGTGCCCTCAAAATAACCGCCATAGATAATGCTTGTTTGAATGAAAAACATGACAGATGGTTCGATCTAATGATAAAAGCCCTCAGTGTATTTGTCAGCATGTCATTGTCGATGGAATTTGAAGTGCTGGCATACTTGTCGCTTCTTTGAAAGGTATGCTCTGTAATACTTTCCTTTCTGGCCTGCTGTCAGATGCTCAATCCATCTGGCAATCATCCGCTTGTTATTTGACCGTTTCAGCTTTTCATCTACAAATCATTTCTTTAAGCGATTGTTCCGTGATCGAATAGGCCGTCCAGCGGACAAAGGCAAACATTCAGAGCCGCTGTCAGACTCTCCAGGCCCGTAACTAAATCACAGAACCCTGGATGTTAGGCTAGCCCGCGGTGCACCAGTGCTCTGCGGAACAGCCTAATTTTGTCAGGGTTCCCATAACGGAAGAGCTGCCGAGTTTTGTACTAAACCGAGCTTCATTAGGATTTCAGTAAGCTTTTTATTTTTAACGCCATATCCTGTATGCTCGGGTTGGTTGTCGGCGTAGTGAAGTGCCCGTGTATTTTTGTGCAATCGCCACCTGACCCCGGTGGCGGTATGAAATGTGCGCTGTGTGTCGCTGGCAGACGCCGACGCGTGAACGGTTCAGTCCGCCGATGGCCGACGTGCGAATGCCGGCCAGTTGAGTCCGATAGCCGATCGATAGCCGGGGTAGGTGGTGCATTTCAGACTCCCAGCCGTGACCGTGCCGGCCGTCTGTTCACGCTCCGGACACGAACTGCGCTCGTTGCGAACTCCGTGGGAGAGCACCGGTGGCGATCAATGAGCGACATCGCTCGTGAGGCGCCGAGAATGGCCCCGCGCCCCGGGGTGTGACAATACACTGGTCGGTGCAGGGCCTCGGACCCGGGCGAGTGATCCGGGTGCCAAGTTGGTGTCGGGGCGGGAAGTTTTCCGCCGCACTCTCCGCTGGCGGTCCCGCCGCTGGCCCACGCGTCATGCCGAGCGGTGCCGCGTCCATCACCGTCTGAAAGTGCCCTTTAGCGCCGACATTGCCGTGCAAATGTCACCATTCTCCCCACCGGACGAACTTTTGAATGGGGCTTCAACGGCACCTGATAGGCTGGCTGTCGTTTTCAGTCGAACGGCTTTGGGGTTTTTATGTGCTTTTCTGTTTCCGGTTGGGTGAATGCGGTGATTTATACGTCCGAAAATAACTGAAGTTGGCCTTCCTGGCTTAGCATCTGCTTGGAGTCCTTACTATCCTCAAGCGGCTTTGATTACATTAATGATCGGTTAGGCGGGTTGCTGAGCTGTCGTATCACTCAGATCAGCGTCAGCATCCATCGGCATTGGAGTCCAGCTAGCGGGCGATCGCTGCGGTCTCTCGACTGTCACAACTCA